TGTATGTATGTGAAACGTCCTTACAACACAGGATAATGTTATCCAAAAGTGAGGGCAATGTTTTTAAAAAAAAAGTAAAAAAGAAATTACGGGTATGGGAAAACGACCTCGGCATTACCGTGCGCACACATCTTAAAGTAAGGGCTAGTTGTTAAAAAAAAGCCAAAAAAATTGTAGTAACTGAGCAAGGATGACATTGTAGAAAAGCGGCCAAGACAAAACGCGACAGCAAGCGTCCTGGCTGCATAATTATTAAGGAATAAGGGTAGGAAGTAAAATCTGGAATATTTAAATATAAAGTTATTAACAGCATTAATGAATTAGCTGAGCTTAAATTATTACAGAATATTTCCATTTTTATATATTTTTTTATTATTAGTTTTTGTTCCATTAAATACATTTTAATTTATTTTATTATTACTAATTTATAAATGTTCTCTCGTAGCTTTACAATATATCATTAAAATGTACGAGGGTTAATTACAACTTTTACTTTTCTTACTGCAGTAGGAACAGAAGAGATCTTACGATCTCCTCTATATACGACATACTTATATCCGAAAATTAACAAGGTGAGTGATAAAAATATTTTGTAACGTCAGGAATTGACACTAAAATTCAATTTAACTGAAACTAGTTTACGGAACATGTATGTTTTATTATAATATATAGTTTATTGAATGTTGTTAGTTACACCTGCATAATTAGCGACTGATATGACTTATGATTGAGGATAAAATATTATTTACCGAATGCACTAGAAAAACTTAGTTAATTACAAGCTGATGATCGTGATAAAATCATAGCAATTAATCTGTCGACAAGACAGACTTAAATTTCTCAATTTTATTATTCAACAATGCCTCTATTTTTTTAATTTTTATATATTAACTCTTTATCTATATAAATATATATATATATTAATAGCCGTGATAGCTCAGTGTCCGGGCACTCGCCTTTAATTTAATATACTCGAGCAACCTGAGTTCGATCCCCGGTGTCAGCACCAATGAAATTTTCAATTTTAAGTGCTGAATTATCACGTGCTCAGCGGTGAAGGAAAACCTCGTGAGGAAACCTGCATATTATCGAAAAAATAACAAAAAAAAAGATATGTGAAGTCCGTCAATCCGCAGTGAGGCCGCGTGGTGGACTATGCCCTGATACCTCTGAACAGAGGAGGCCTTTGCCCAGCAGTGGGACATGTATAGGCTGATACTTTCAACTCTTTATATATTAATCAACTTCGGTTGCGGCGTTGTGGTATTCATAATATCTGAACAGTACAAAAAATCGTGTGCTCTATTTAAAGTTGTGATTTTTAAGATTCGATACCAACTAAGGTACTATCTTAGTTGGTATCGAATCTTTCTTCTATCTGTATTTTATATATACAAAGAATATGTGTATTAAAAACCCAAGGTCTTTGGTATTGATATCACTCAACTCGTTATGTCTGTCATTTTCCCGGTAATACACAACAGGAAAATTGGCGGTGCACGATTATTCCTTACAGCTTCCCCATCGTAAAAAATAATATTATAAAAAAAACATAATCATCATGATGCGATTGTCATTATTGTCTGTAAAGCACGTGTCGAAGCCCCTTTTAACTGGCTACTGCAACTAACAATGTTTTCGTCACGTGCAGATAGAATAAATGCACTTGTTTATTTTATGCTTTTAGTTCACTCACGTGCTTTATAAAAATGAAATTAAGTTATTATATTATCATTAATAGTTGTTTTTTTTTTTTTCTGTAGGCTTTTTATTGATATATATAGTTATATATAACAATAAAAAGTCTATTAAATTTAAACACTAAACATCTTGGTTTTGCTGTTCAGCAGTAACAAATCAATCATACCATAATCTTATAGTCTAAGAGCTAGCAACGATTTCGAGAGAGAATTTCAGGTAGGCCAGTGTTTGGATATGCTATCTCTCTCACTCTCGCGGACGTCATACGGGCTATCTGGTAATAATTCAACTGTCAACCCTTCAGCCAGACCGATCCAAAAGTGAAAAGTGATGGTGTGGCATGTTGGAAGAGTACAACCGCCAGCCAGATAGCCCATATGACGTCCGGGAGAGTGAGAGAGATAGCATATCTAAAAAGTGGCCCACCTGAAATTCTTATTTTCCCGACGTTGTTAGCTCTCGTGTGATTATTACAATTATGTGGGTCTAGTATTACAACATTATTCGTATTACACCGAATCCTTAGCTTACACTAACGATAAGGTTAAGGATTTTCATTTCTACTAATATTATCCCACTTTGTACGATTATAGAAATGAAAAAAAGGCCTTATTAATAGTGTAAGAGTTAATGAAAGAAGCACTTTTTTAACTTGACAAACATTTACTATTCTAGCTGTACAGAAAATTCGAATGCTCATCGAACGTCGAGAATTATAAATATTTCCGTGATACGTACGTGATAAGTACTTAATTCTTTAAAATAGCTTATCTACGCTATTTTCAAAATTTATTAATTTATTAACAGTCGTTATGCTCAATACTGAGGTTGACCCATAGTCTCTCTAATCTGTAGCAGCTATCCCTTTCTTCTTCTTTTCAAAACAACATTAAAGCTATTAATAGCCCTTTGATAAACTCTAAAATATCATGTATTAAAACCAATAGCTCGTAGAACCGATAACCGTTGGGGAAGAAAGGTTCTCGAGTAGCAGCCTCGTACTGGTCATCGCAGTGTGGGACGACCCCCCACTAGATGGAGTGACGACCTGTGCAAATGTGCGGGAAGTCGATGGATGCAGGTGGCTCAGGATCGTACTTCGTGGCAGTCTATGGGGGAGGCCTATGTTCAGCAGTGGACTCAAACAGGCTGAAATGATGATGATGATGATGATGAAAACCAATAGTAGAATATCAAAACGCTTATTTTCCCCTTAGTTTCAAGTGCTCAACGGCATTCACGATATACAAAATTTAGCCTAGATTAGGACAAGATTTAGCCGGTTCTCTTAGGTTTAGCCACTGTCACCGTTTCCGATTGTCATACAAATTTCTCAACACAAGTATAAATACGATTTAAATCTCCCTCGTTATTTCGACGGTACAGAGATTTAATTCAATGCGTGTTTTTAATTCTTGACCACCTACCACCGGTTTCGATCTGGCCGTTGTAGGAAATTACGAGTTTATATACCTTTTCTACACATCCAGTCTTGCGCTGGGCGAGTGTACTCGAGCGCGCGTTTCGCCAGTGCACGTAAAAATCTTTCGCCACCGGTCTGTGAGACCACACGTGATAAAAAAATTAACACGTGATTTTAATGCACACTATTCTTTTCTTTTTTTAGTTAAAAATGAATAATAACGAAGAATATATAGAAATATAATTATATATAGCACGCCTCCAGAGTGGGCTCAATGAGCTTATTTGGAGCGAAGAGGGCCGCTTCAAGTGTTCTTACACAGATCGGCCCAGTGTGGGTTCCACTTGGGTTCGCCATGGCGGAAACCCGGTCGGAGGGGTGGTCTGTCGAGCCTAGACATCGACATCGAGGGGCATCCAGACCTGATAGTTGTCCAGATGAGTGGTCAATAGAAGATCCAACGCTGACAGTAGGAGACAGCTTTGATAGCGCTAGTTGGCTCGCTCGTCGATCGAGCTAGGAGTGACATACGTCGTGGAGAAAATTCACGAACTGGATCTTGGAATAGCACTCTTAAACCGAGGTTCTCTGGTTGGAACAAGCTCCCGAGAGAAAGAGAACCAATCAGTCGGTCGATATGCATTGGTGACGCTAGGCAGCAAAGGAGTTTAAATTATTAAATTGTTTGTCCGACGTTATTCACTAAATAATGAAATGGTTAAAGTCGCATCCAATCGGTATATATAACGACTTGTTTCGGACCGATTGGAGTTCATTGATGAGGACGCAGTTGCACCCTGTCCTGAACTCTCAAAGTGCAGGATGAGAGGGTGGGGGGCTGGACTTCGCATCGCTGGAAAACTACAAAACAGCTCAGCCTTCTGTGGAGTCAAAAGCTTTCATATAGTCCACGAATGCTAGACAAAGGGGCTGGTTGACAAACAACTCCGACACTGCTAAGCAATTGGAGTTATCCTACTTGCGGAATACCAAAATTAATATAAAACTGTTCACTTTTTATTCATTTGACATTAACGCTTTAATGTTTATCATATAATTTAAAAATGCTCTTAATATAGCGATTCACAATCGGACGAACAGAAATGAAATCTGCACGTAAGAATTTATATATCTTTAGCGTAACAAAAGAAAAATAACTAAAAATTTTATTCCCTGTGCCAGTACTCTTTGATTATGAAAAGACATTGAATGAAATTGATAACGGTTTAAATAAATAACTTGGAATTTACAGGTAAATGTCTAAAAAATGTTATTGGTTGCCGCGGTAATAGCGTAAAGTGGTTCGAAGTGGGTCAATCAACTTCATCATGTCGCTTTTATGTCACAAAGAAGTATTGGTAACTAAAAAAAACATTTTAATAAAATTACAAAAGTCTACTTCTTATTATTAGATCAGATATTTTACTTTTAAGCGCGATACCGTTATGTTAGATCTGAAATCAGCCATGGAACAGGAAAACCAAAACCACTTCCTCAGAATTACCTGCGATAAAACCCACCATGTAAGAGGAACGTCATATGAGCACTTAAGTTTTTCCAAGTCACAGGGAAGATGTGCTTTATAAAACCTACACTCTCATAAAAACCAGTCAGTTGCACTTTGACATCTCGCGCGTCTTAAGTTGAATTTATTTTTTGTTGTCAAAAGTTGATTAAGCTTGATGATTGTGATTTGATTAAGTGTGCTGAAATTGGAGGAATTGAGGGCAATATAATTTCGTTTCGAATCTGATAGTGTACTTTTTTTTATAGTAAATCGAGAATGTTCTTGGCTATTTTATTTGCTGCTATTGTATTCATGATAATATTGCATGAAGTATTTACAAGGAAAACTAAACGATGGAAAAACCTAAGCATGTTTCCCGGAAACAACCCACTTCCGTTATTTGGGAACGCTTTAGAACTTGGATTTGATGCTGATGGTAAGTAAAGCGTATTAGGTTGACGATACACAATGAGAGACGTGAACGTTTACTAGGCTCACTCCGAAAGTTTTTAGAATTGGCCAGTTAGAAACATTTACAATGAAAACTTCTTTTAAATTTTGAATATAGAACACTTGGCTAACCTCATGTAATATATTGAATTTATTTGTCATATGTTTTTGTAAATTGGAGGCAATGCCAAAAGACTTATTATACCTCAAAATAAATTTAACCCGAGAAAATTTTACCCTTTTACATTGTATAATGAAAAATTGTTACAGTTTCATTTAGTAAATCGAAGATGAGACAGTTTTCTTTTTATAGAATTTGATACTATTTTGTTATATGCCATTTTCAATGAATACCATCTCGGTACGAGCTGGAAGTAACGCCCGCCCAAAATCTAACAACCCTCCAACATAAGAGGTGATTTCTTCAAAACACACGTTGGCATATCTTTCCCCTGGTCTTCGTAACACTCGCCGCAGTGGGTCCTCACCATGCAGACAATTCGAGCCTCATCAGAAGTACGCTTCTCCAATTACCAGGTGTCCAGTGTCCGAGATAGGCAATTCTTAGAGACCTCAATCGAGCAATACGGTGCTCACGGTCGACTCCGTATATCAGCCGCCAAAAGCCACTTTCTCACAGTCCATAGGATAAATTCTGCCCCTCGTACCTCTTTCATGTTTTCTTTGCGGTGTTTGTAACTGCATTTGGTTCCTCAGCGCCTGAGTTACTAAAAAGTGGTTGTGAGCCACGTTTTCTGCCTTGTCTTTTCTGAACGGAACCTGCCTCTTGGTATCGAGTAGTATCTGGTATCGTCTAGTTACTTTGGACGGTTGAACAACTCACGTTTAACCGCTGTGATTTGTAGTATCGGCTACACCCCTCTTACAGCAGTGCTATTATTTTACTAGCTTTTATTGGTTTTTCTTCCATTACAATAGACACAAAGACATCTGTTTTCACAATAAGGGCTATGAGACAAACATAAAATATTCTAATAAAATAAATTTTGGTTGCCCGCTTTAACCCTTTAAACGCAAACCTGCGAAAAGTAATTAAAAAGTCCAACATGAAAAAGGGATTATTATTTAAAAAAAACAAGTTTTGAATTTGGAATAAACTTTTTTTTATACCCAGACTCTTTAAGTGCCAGTAACGTAATTCAGCTAGAACCTTTTTCGAACTAAATGATTACCAGTAATGATGAAAACACAAAAGCGCCCGTTTTTTTTTTTTTGTAAAGGATTTTATAAAACATAAGTCAAAACCTATTCTTTCAGATGCATCCCACAAATTAATGGATATGTGGAGAAAGCATGGTAAACAAAATTTCCGTTTGGCGGTTGGTTCTGAAGATTGGGTACTTCTATCAGAGGCTGACGACGTTGGTGTAAGATTTCCTTTTAACTTTTATTTTATTATTTTTAATTAATATATGATAACTTTATATAATCATTTATAATGTATATAATATTTTTATTAATTAATACGTAATGAAATGTTTTTGGCCAATGTTGTAATAAAAGTCACTAGAAATAATTATAATTATCATCCAATTAAAATACGTTAGTTAATGCTATAACATTATCTCAAATTCAACAAATTAAATGATGCTTTAACACTTATATTACAACTGAAGTGATATAACGTAAAGAAAAAGCTGTGGTTTAGAAATTCCAAAAGATTTTCACCAAAATGTAACAAAGATCGTGTCAAAGTAAACTTGTAGAATCGTACATATTCATTCACATTATCCTTCTATGTTTATTCGAGGCAGGTAAAATATCAGAGATCTCTCGAAGCTCGGATTTATAACTGACAATACTTTTGTGCATAAAACATGACAAGTATACAACATACAAATCAATATGGTTAACACTTATCACTTTACTTCTCATCAATATTTATGTAAATTAAATATCTTATCCGCGTACTATTCATGTTTTGGTTCATTATCCGAATTATATCCTACACTCATAAACGTGGCTGGCTTCCAATGATTTGATCTTTTATCAGTCAATGAAATTGTTGTTTTGATTTTTATCAGTTTTATTCAGAAATTCAAAAATCATTGTGATAATTATTCTTTATTAATACTTATTAGAACGTTTTTGTAGCAGTATGCTCGTACATTTTTTTTTAGGTAATATTAAGCCATCCCACGGAACTTGGAAAACCTTTAGAACGCAATGTGGCAATGATGCCGTTTTTCGGAAACTCAGTGTCGACTTCTGAAGGTATATATATAGTACACAAGTTATTAATATTACAAATTAATAGATTAGTCTAGTGCAATAAAATGCTAAACAATTATTTTGATAATTAATATGGGTTTCATTGCAATTGGCTCAGAATAATTTCACTTCCAGAATATAAGTTTTCTGTGTTATTTTTTCATTATATGAAAATGACATTTCATAAGTTTAACACATCAAATGTTTGTTGAATGCTTTTTGTATATAAGTTATTTTCAATAATTAATTATTACAATATTAATCAAATATCTTATTTTCTGATATACGCTTTTCCCTCTGTTACATTTATTTTTTCAGTTATAAAACTGTAAAACATATTGTATCAATTGTCTATGTAACGTTTTCACCTTACTAATAATTCTTCGGATCTCGTTTTACCAATTTCGAGTTTATTGTAAATTGTATCAAATATAAAAAATGTGTGTGTACACACTTAAGAAGTACAGCTTTCGTGTAACAAAATAAAAATTAACAACAAATTAACACCATGAAGTAAATCACCGACTAAGATGACATCTCGATTGTTTTGTCCCTAGCACAGATAACACAAAAGTTAAAAATGGATGTCTAAAAACTTTAAACTGTAGGTAGCAGTAACGATGTACGTTACTACAGTACTAAACTTTAAAAAATATGTGTCAAATGATTTTTCTTGTTAATAGGAGAACGATGGCCATTGATGCGTAAGCTGATGACCCCGAGTTTCCAATACAGAACACTGGAAAAGAGAGTACAAAATTCGAATGCATACTGCAAGCATCTTTTCAGCATCCTTGATGAGAAATTGGAGGTGGGCGATATTGATTTGTACCGCTACTTGCGCCCGTACATGTTCGACTTACTATGCAGTTAGTATAAAATACTTATGATCGTTTTCCATTTCCGCTCGCTTTTAATTCAATATACTCAACCTGAGTTCGATCCCTGGAGTCGGCACCAACGAAATTGTTAATTTTAAGTGCTGAGTTATCACGTGCACGTGCGATTAAGGAAAACATCTTGAGGAAACCTCTATATTTTCGCAATAATAGCAAAAAAAATATGTGAAGTTCACTAATCTGTAGTGAGATCGCGTGGTGGACTATGCCCTAATACCCTCTGTACAGAGGAGGCTTTTGGCCAGCAGTGGGACATATATATGCTGTTACTTTACTGTATTTTACTTATGAATGGCACAAACAGACGTACTCTTGTATCGTATTTATAAATTCCTATTTCTTCTTGTATCTTGTATTAACTGATGTTTTTGCTTTCAGTCCCGAGACTATTAAAGCTTCATCGGACGCAGAACCGGTGGGCTAGCCAGAACCCACGGGTTTGGACCCTCCGCTATGGGCAGGGTCGCGCATGTGCTCATGCGTGCGTTTAACTACTATGGTGTGTCATCTAAGGGCCGTCGAGGTCGCCGGTTCGGACCGAGATCCCGACGGCCGTCGACTGTGCATTTAGCTAATCGGTGGCTGGGAGCGGTGAGAACCGCCCCGGAACGCGGGTGTACCTTGTGTACGCGTTGTGTGGGTCTCGCCGTGCTCGGAGGCGAGGGCGAACTGGTGTGATTGTTGTTACACTTACTGTGGGTGTAGTGTTATCCGGCGGGACCCCCGGCGGTGGGTCCATCGTATCTAAGTCCTCTTCGACGACCGGGTCGATGAGGACGTTTCGCGGGCGACGCTTGTTTACGTTCGCGTTTATGTCCGGTTGGTAGTTTGCTGCGCTTACCACCAGAGGGTTGGGATGATGCTGGACTCTATCGAAGAACCGTTTTGTCAAATCTTTAAAATGTGCGCGAATCGTCGGGAGTCTGCAATCGCTGTGCAGGTCGACGTTGCGCTGATAGCACTGCGCACCGGTTGCGCGGCGGATAAACTTATTTTGTACTATTTACAACTTGTACAAGCGAGTAGGGTGCGTGTGGGCGAAGATCATGCATGCGTAGGACATAATAGGTCGTACGCAGGTCTTATATAATAATAATTTGTGCCTTAAGGGCATTTTACTTTTAGCATTAGTTAAATTGTGTAGCCGGCCGGAGACGAACGCGGCTCTATTACGAACGTTATTAATGTCGAAAGTGACTCCTAAGTATTTGACCTTTTTCTCCCAGGGGAGCGGTTGGCCATAAAGGGATATTTGCCCCAACTTTCTGCATTGGCGAGGGCCATTATAAAGATGTGACGGGTAGGTACTTCGTGTGAAGTGAATCGCCACACTCTTTTCGGGATTAATATCGATTCTCCATTTGCGGAACCAATCGCCGAGGCGGTCGGCAGCGCTTTGGAGTCGAGTCGTTAAATGACTGAGATTGCGCTCTGAGTAAAAGAGCGCCGTGTCATCCCCGAAAGGCGCGAGATTGACGTGGGGGTCTCTAGGTATGTCGCTCGTGTAGAGCGTAAATAGCAAGGGTGAGAGGCAGGAGCCTTGTGGTACGCCGGCCGTGAGGCGGCGGCTTGTGGAGAGGGTGCCCTCGATTCGATATCGAAAAGAGCGGTTCAACAAAAAGGCCCCGATGGTGTGTACAAGCCTATCTGGCACTTTGAGTGTGAATTCCTATTTCAGATTCGCTAATGGGCGTAAACTTTAATCTGCTCGACGATCCGGATCATCCTTATTTACAAGCCAGCCGGAAGTAAGTCTTTTATAATGCTTATCACACCAAAACAACGAAAATTTCACGTATTTATTGTTTCTTTATCCCGTACATAATAAATAACTTTGATAACCAATTACTCATTTTGTTTTAAATCATTGCAGAGTAATCAAAATTGTTACTATGAATTATTTTTCGTACTGGAGAAATATTCGTCCGTTATTTGTCTTAACGCCAGCCTATAGAGAAATGATGGATACAGTCAAGACCGTTCGGGATACAAGTACAAATGTAAGATAATAATAAATTCGAATGCCCAAATTAAATACAACGCATTTACATTATATGCTAACGAAAATATAACTGTGTTTTTTGAGATACCGCAAAGGTTCAAGGATACACATGAGACATTTTGATATTCCCACATACAAATATTTAGATAAGACTTCATAATACCATAGGTATGCTTACAACTGCGTGTATAGCCTAGTATATGAATAATACTTACTTAATCGTAAATGTACGAGATGAGTCCTTCTTCCATTTTGAATGTTGTGACAATTTATACAAAACGGATATTAAATGATGACCATAACGATTTCACTGCATTAAATCCACAGATAATTGCCGAAAGAAGGAAGCTACTTCAGCAGTTTATCGATGAAACGAGAAAGAACAACAAAAATGTTGACGTTGAAGTTGAGAAATTAATAGCTGATAAATTATCGGACGATGCTTGTCTTCTAGATAAATTCTTACTTAGTAAATCATCTAATGATGACGTCATTCCTGATGAGGTGGTAAATGAAGAAATTAGCCTCGTTTGCTTTACAGTACGTATATTATTATTGCAACACCTTCTTTTTACTAATAAGGTTACTATGTACATAGATACACATTGTTGAAGATGTTAAGTATAAGTTTGATGGCTTAGGGTATATATTTTCATGGGAATAAATCTTTGTCCTGACATGTTTATATAATAATTATACATTGTCAAAAATTTTCACTTAAAAAAATTATCAAGCAAGCTACCTGGCAATTGACCTGATGTTAAGTGATAACCGCCGCCCATGGACATTTGCAACTCCAGTAGGGTAGCAGATGCGTTGCTACCTTTTAATAAAGTCGGCCCCGGCTACCTCACTCACCAGACGAAATACAAAAGTATAACACTTCTACTGAACTTTTGCCTGACCCTACCACAGTTATAGTCACTGTCTAAACCACTATCCAACGTCTAGAAAAGTTTTAAACTATATGTGATAACAAAAATGCAATACGGTCCCCGCCTTGTATACATATAAAGAGATTAATTGACGTTTTAGGGACATTATACCACAACGATGACCATGAGCCACACATTATATTGCTTAGCTAAATACCCCAGGTGCAGAAGAGGGTGTACGATGAACAGCTCTCAGTATTCAACAATGACATCACGAAGATGCCCACGAACAGCGATTTGAGTAAAATGAAGTATTTAGAAGCTGTTATTAAAGAAAGCATTCGAGTAATACCGACGGTGACTAAAATTGGAAGGCAACTGGAGAAAGACCTTGAGCTTGCAGGTGCGTATTGTTTCATTATAATTATCACAGTACTTTCTCTTAAATTACAAAACTTCTCTTACTTTCTTTCCTTCTTAAATAAAAACATCCATCTTACTGTAAGATGAAATGATATAGAATGGAAAGTATGTACTTAAATTGCGAATGGCCAAACAAACACTGTCGTGAACAATAGTCCACACTAATTTAGCGATTTGCCTCAATTGAAATTCTTTCGCTTCCCATACAACAAGTAATTTTATACCAAAAGAAAAAAAATAAGTAGGGGCGTCCCTTAGGGGAAGCCCTTAATTTAATGTATGTGTAATAAGACTTATCCTGTGTTGTAAGGAAGTTTTACAAACATAAATTTCACGGGGACAAACACCGAGATGCGAATCAACCATCTGTGGGTCACACAAATAGTTGTTCCGTGAGGAAATCGAACCCACGACCTCCGACGATGAAGTCAATACCTTGTCAACTGTGCCACGGTAATAACGTATTTAAAATGTGCAATTGACATTACAGATGGGCGAATCGTCCCTGCTAAAAGCGCGGTGATCGTATTTTACGAGGCAATGTTTGTCAACCCCAAAATATTTCCGGAGCCCGAAAGGTATGATCCGGAGAGATTTTTAAGCAATATGCACCAATTTGCGTTCGTACCTTTCAGCGCGGGGCCAAGAAACTGCATCGGTAATCGCTTTTTTTATAATTCACATTACTTACACACTAAACTATTTTAACTAGTGGACGCCGAGCGACTATAATTAATTTAAATTATAAGTTTGAATTCTCAAATAAAATAAAAAGAAGAATATACAATTTTAATTTTTATCGTCAAAAAATGCTTAGATTCGTATTTTAAAATTATGCCATTTGATTCAAAGTCTGATATATATACACGCCTTTAAATGTTACAACATCTTTCTGTAACACCCTGTATATGCGTGTGTGTATTAAATACATGATAGTGTGGGTAATATTTTCGATATTGATTTAGGTAATGTGTTTTTATGCATAATTTAAAAAAATATTAGCATTGTGCACTCCTCTATCTTATCCTTTAAACGAGCAATTCTTGTTGTCGGAAACGGCTCCAGCCATTTTCATGAAATTAAGTATGTGCGTAGATTCGGGGACGAAAAATCGATCTCACTAGGTTTCATTTTTAGAAAATGTCCTTTTATCCAGGGAATGAACAATAGATATTCGAATATGACAGTAAAATTCGCCGCAAAAAAAAAATAATAGCTCGGTCTCTAATCGGGCGGCCGCAAAACAGACGGCCGCGGTTCGTATCACGGTCATTTACACACTTATTTTTTTTTACTTTTTGTTCTGTACCAGATCATTTTCTTTATTTTTTATTTTTTTTATTTCCAAAATACATTACGTTACGGTCCTCCAGGTACTGTAAACTATAAGTGTGTTTTTATACTCCTCCCCTGGCGCAATTTTCGTAAAAAGGGGTACAAAGTTTTTGCTTCATATTTACTATTAATATTATATATAACGAAATCGACATATAATATTTATCGTCGAATAAAGTATATTAAAATTATGAGTTGTTCATAAAATTATTTTTTTAGGTTTTCGATACGCGTGGGTAGCAATGAAAGCCACACTTTCAAATATAATACGAAGGTACGAAATTCTCCCTGGCGGGCCAGGTTCAGAACCTCTGTTTAAATACAGAATCATTACGGAGTCAGAAAATGGTATACACTTAAAATTAAAGAAGAGGACATACTGAATTTATTCTCGGAGAAAAGTTAAAGGTAATTACTAGCGTGAGGAGACAATTACGGTAACATCCCTCAAGTGTTGAACTTAAGGTTCTGTTATGTAATAATCATTGTATTCATCATACTTTACATGTAACAGAGTAAGGACCAACTTAGTACATTCAATATGTGATCATAACTTAGTGTTTAACGTCTTCAAAGGGAAATGTTGATTTTGATTTATTGATATTCTGAATTTAGATTTAAATTGTTTTGTAATAAGTATAGTAAGTGATTTATTATTAACTATTTATTAAAATACATTTTGAACGTGTATTGTGCTTTTAATTATTTTGAAAAATAAAAATAAAACCACACAACAACTTTTGATTTTTTATCGCATTGCACAATGAATATTTATGTGGATAAAATGTATATATAAATACCTAGAGCCGAATAACGATTTGTTTAATCTTGCCAGATATTTTTGAAAGTGCATTAAATTTGTAAAGTCATAGCTAAACAACTATATTAAATCTTTAATATTTTTTTGGCCACACAGAATTTATATCCACTAATGACCAACCTTCCCATGTAAAATGTTTTCACAAAATCATCTTTTAAAATGTTTTTACAAAATTACAATACGTATTATGTTTATCTTATTATCCATCCAAAGATTTTCACAATAAATAATTGAGTAAAATCCCGCATTAGTGATCGTTCTGCGACGGTTTATATTTATTGCTAACTTTTAAGTTAACTCTTTAGAGTTAAAGCAAAAGTTTAAGAAAAATCTTATGCGTCTTCGTAGTATACACGCTACCTCGAAGAACAATAAAACTAAGATTAGCAAGGTGCAAACTTACATTTAACTGGCCGGGGTAGCGGGTAAACTACCTTAATTCAAAGCACGCGTTAAGAGCATACAGTATTATTACAAATCCAGGTACAAATAAGGCAACTAGTATTCTAACACCGTACCATTTCATTCCGGGAAATAGATTCTTGCGTCAATTCTTTTATAAGAAACCGCGCGCAGTGTAATTAAGAAAAGAAATTTCATAAAAGAACACGTATTCATAATATAAACGTGTGTCCAAAATATAGTTCTAAATGTTCTAAATAAAAGCTGTAAATAATTTTTGCATGTAAATAAAATTCATTTATTTATTTGAAACTGCTAACTACTATACAATCACATATTTCTATTAACATATCCTGATACAATATTGCATGAGGCGTCCAATTTATTTCACTACGTTCACTAGTGTGTACATGATATATAATTACATAAATCAAAGCTAATGTCAACCTGGTCAGGACCCTGCAATGCGGTCAGTTCAATTGTTATGTTGTCAACAACTAACAGCTCAAACATGTGAAAAGTCGTTAAAATAGATAAAATACCGAGCCAGAAATACAACGGTATGAATTAAGGGTTTGTATAATTTTCGACTAATCGAAGGTGTTTTCAATGCTTGAGATCGCAGATATCGATGTGAAGGCGAGTCTGACATCTTAATTTGGGCTTGTATATCTTGATTGGAGATCGATCCAAGGATTATTTCGAAATGGATTTTCTTTTAAGTAAAAAAAAGTGCTTGAGATGTTAGTGCTTCTGATGTGGGTTCTGGATTATACCGAAAAGTTTTTTTGTTTTTGAGTGTCTGCAATATTAAGAATTAATCGGCGATTTCTTGAACGAATAATGCAAGAAATAAACATAGCGGCTAAAGCGTCTGTTCGCAAATCCGAAAGACGTGCGTACAATTTTAAAACTTTTCGTCCATTTTTTCTACATATTCTAAGGCAATAAACACATTTAAATTAATCTCTATTTTACATTTAAACTAAGAGCAGAAACTATTGCCAAAATGTAGTATAAAATCCTATAACTTTGTGACACCCGTTGAGTTACATTGCCACCTTTTAGTAAACCGGGCGCCGGTCACCTCACTCACGAGACGAAATGCTGAAGGATAATAACTTCCCATCACGCCGGTCTTCTGTGAGGTCGTCGTACTTCCCAGGACTGACCTGCCCATTCGTGCAATAGACTGTAGAGTCGCCCTACCACAGTAAACTTTTTAGCACAGTAAATTAACGTATCTCGCGATGAAACGAGGTAATTTATGAGTATTATTTACGTAAGACATATTGTGATAAACTCACCTGGCTCATTCACCTGAATACAAATGTCAGAAAATGTATACCATACATCTTTAAAAGAATTATCGTTATTTACGCCGAAGCATAGATAACGATAACAAAGGAATGGTACAAACAAATAAAAAGGTAAAGAATAAAAACTGAAATGTAAAAAATAGGTTGTGTAAAACCTCGTCGGATTCGGAGCTCGCTGAAATTTTAGTTTCAGTTTTTGTGACGCATTCACGTGAGAAATTCTGTTGAATTCGTTGTTCTTTCGCGAGCACAAAATTCTTTTGATTATTAATAATTATTGCCCAACGAAAGTAGCTACTTCTGTAAATAAATGAACAAAGATTCAGCACTTTTTTGATTAAAAATGATAAGGGAAGGTGCTAAGGGAAGTAAGGTTAATACAGTTCTGAATGTGAAATTCTTCCGTTCTTATTTAATATTATATGAATAAAGATGAGAAAATTGTTGCGGCCGGCGCGGCGGTGTAATATTTCGTACTTTTGGTGTATGTATAACATAATTTGTCTAATATAGTAATATATAAACTTCTGTAATAGTAATAAATTACAATATGCAGTGCATGTTTCGACATTACATATACCTATCAGAACTATTAATAGAAATTGATTAGCAAGTTTGAAAATACAATTTAAATACTTATTGAAAAAACGTTTCAATGGAAGACCATTATAGATTTCAGAAATTCAATGTCTGCGCACTAGTGATAAAATGTATATATACAGTCGAATTGAGAAACCTACCTTTTTGAAGTCGATTAAAATTGATTTCGAACAGATCAAAATTCGCCGAGTCTTTAGGTGTTTTTTATAGATATCATATTACTCTTAATATAAAGTCTTAACATAATAACTCCTAATAAACTATTGATAAAAACTAAAACTTACCAAAAATGTTTGGAATCAATGTTTTCTTTTGAACAATTAAAACATGAATATAGAAGGTGTCTCCTGCTTAGATTCTGTGATATGTTAATCTTGAAAACACATTCGAGCAAAAGTAACTGATGATTGCAATAAAATAATATGAAGCCTTTCTGTTTTATTATTTATTTGCTTTTAACATGGTTTCACAAGAGGTGTTACAAATCATCAATACTGGACCACATCTCAAGTTAATTTTTATATCCACTTCACTTTACTATTAATGTAAAGTTGTAATTATACTTTGTTAATTCATTTTGATAAACAAATTATATATACTGGTAACGTTTTTTATAACAAATTCATACTGATAAAATAAGAGTGGAATATCGTCAAAATGCGATTTATTGATAAATTGAATTTAATGTTGTTACAAGGGTAAATTTTCTATACTACAGGGGTGGTCCTATTTGAATTTATCCATGTAGAATCTAAAAGGCAATTAAAACAAAATTTTATTTGCGAGTGTGTTTTTTTGTAGAAAAAGAGAGAGACACTAGTGTTTCAAATGGTTATTTGTAATTGTTTTTTTACCATCATGAAAACATTTTATCAAGTCGCCATACAAGCGTCAAAACTCTTCTTATTTTTAAAATTTTAAATCACATTTTCAATAAAATACAATTTTAAAATCAAAAGCATCTTATTCTTTAATTAAATAAATGCAATCACAACGACACAAATGTGAAAATAAAAATATAACCGAAAAGAAAGGGCCTAAAATAAATCCATATTATCACAGGAAGTAAGCAGCTTACTAGAATGGGCAATGTATTATTTTTCATATGAACTCAGTGTAGCTTGCGCCGAGAACTGAAAACCTGTTTTATCCTACTACAGATTTCTTTTCCGTAACTCACTTTATATCGCATCTAAATTTATTTTTGCGCAATGATATTGTAACATGGAAATGTGTTAGCCGTGTTAACACTAACGTTAGTGAAGTTTGGCTGATAATGTTAGTTCAATATTTCTTTTAGTAGAAACGCTATGAACTTGATTCGAGCTTTAAAATAAAGGTGTTGTAAGTGATATTACGAGAATTGAGAATTATTTTATACTTTATTGAACACCATAAAACATAAAAGGATATGTTACAGAGGTATAAAATTAAGAGTTACAAAGGAGAGGTATAAACTATATAGGTTCAAATTATTTAACGTAGTCAAGTCACAAACCGTGACTTGAATCCGTTAAAAAAGCGGTTGTGTTCCTAACGAACGCATACAGCTTTTAAATTAAATTTTAAAACTACGTTGACTTTAAAATATTTCAAAGGTCTTTCAGTTTTCGATTAACGGCTTACTTTACTAACCTACAGGTTATATGTAGCTTGATTCGTCTTTTCCTTCCATTCTATCTCTTCTAGCTCAAAGCCCAAAGGCCAAGTGTGCTAAGTTACACCATTTAATATAATTATGGGGAGAAACAAATTTCGCCGGTTACAGGTGTGATAAAGATAAAACTTGATAAGATGGCTTTATGGTATCCAGTTCGAAAAATATTAATTATTCCCAACACGGCATTGTGAATGTCAGAAGAATTTTTATCTCCCTTTTTAACTTTATAAACTCGCGAGTATTTACCGGTAAAATTCATTACGCGCTCTTTTAATTAAAACTTAATTAGCATTAAAATTTTTAATTTGCGCAGTTCTAAAATGTTTAAAATAAAACCACTGAACTAATTTAAAGTTGTATAAAATTTTAAACCTATACTTTGACCGATGTTCGCTTTGGACCATAAAATATTAAATTAACATTTTTTATACATATATTCTGCGTGGCTTATGTTTTGATGACTTCGTAGCGCATTTGCCAAGGTTGGCTTCGGCTTCGGGGGTCGTGGGTTCGATTCCCACACGGGACAACAATTTGTGCGATCCGCAGAGAGTTGTTTCGTATCTGGGTGTTTGTCCG